ATCACGACTGTTCAATTCAGTCATTTTTTTACATGTCAAGTTTATAAAATTTTAAAACATTATTTTAAAATAAAAAACTTAAAATTATAATTTATTTATAAAAACCCCTAAATTTTTCTTAAATCTAAAAAACACCCTAAAACCCCATAATATTTTATTTTAAATCCTATTTTCAGTTGTGCCCCTCATCTTTGACCGTCATATGTCATCTCTGGCCGTTGTCGTTGTTGCTGAACAAAAACCCATACTTCATCGTTCACCCACTGACCGATCATCACCCTTATTATTATCCCAAATCCTAAATACCTAAACTCCTAAATCCCTAATCATAAATTTAAAATACCACATAAACGATAAAGAGTTTCCCAATAATCCAATTGAGGGAGGGCTAAGTTCGTCGGGGGCTGGTCGCCTGGAAGCGGAATGAAAATTGTGCAGGTGCGAATGAGACTTTCCGTGGGGGAGGGGGAGGGATAGGAATCCTCTGCCCCTTTTTCATGTCTCTACTTGCGCCTCTTAAATTTTATTGGCGCGCGTGTACACTAAAAGTTATTATCTTAATTTTTATTCCAATTAATTTTTTCCTTCACCTTCTATATTTTTTTAAAGAAAATCCAAGCTCTTGACAACTAGAACTGATGGAATAGCAATGTGGCAAAACTTTTATGAAAATACTCGTATTTCCACCATTGAAGCAATATCCTCTAGATTCTTGACATTGTGCTTCGTTCATCCATTCCTCGTCTTCCAACCTGCTCCAATATATACTTTGTCAATTCCAAAACCATTAAAAACAAAATAGAGAAAGCTACGATGCAGTGCAAGAAATTCTTCAACCCATACATATGTGAACATGATATTGACTAAATCCAGTTGCTACTCACCCCTCCACCATGATGTTGAATTTAGTTCTGTTTTGTCTGTTGCGACCTTTAGAGTGAGTATGTGAAGCAAACGAAGAGAATAATCTCTTGGAGATTCCTATTACTGATATTTTCGTATTCCTATATGTTACACTGATAATACTGAATGTGTTCGATTTCCCCTGTTTGGAAGAAACGAAGATGAAAGAAAAAGAACAAGATGACGGAGTCACCGAAAGAAAACTTAGATGGTGCGATCTTTATACAGGAAAATAATAACATTTAAAGTTAAATTGAAATTGTCAAGACCATGTCCTTTAATTGTAGAATTATAGTGAAATTGTAGAATTTTTATTCCGCCAGCTATGGTTTCAAGAATTACTGAGCTTGAGTTTTCTTTTTAAAAAATAAAGAAGAAGAAGGTAAATAAAAAGCAAAAAATTAATTGGGGTAGAAATTAAGATAATAAACTTTAGTGTATACCAATACAATTTAAGGGTGCATTTGGATGGGTATGTGATATTACTGGGAGAATATTTTTTTTCGGGAATGTGAATCCCCGTTTGGATTGCAAAGATTCCCAACTCCCGTTAATAAGCCATTTCCAACAATGGTATTTGGAGACTTAAATTGTAAATTTATCCTTAAACTATTTATGATTTACAAAAAATTCATAATTAGAATTTTATATGAAGTTCAGGGGTTAAAATAAAATTAAACCATTTTATTAAACATATTTATCTTTTAAAATTTGTAAAAAAAATTATATAAATTTTATGAATTTAATTTTTTTTTTAAATATATAAATTAATTATTGTAAAATTATATATTTTCACTGATCTTACATTCCAATATTTTCATTTGAATATTTAAAATTCAACTTGTTAAAAAAACAAATATATAATAAGGACAATTTGGTAAAATATACATTCCAATAATCTTTTATTCATTTAAACAAACAATGTAATCTTACATTCCTGCTAAACGAACCAAATACAAAAATGCAACATTCCCAATAATGTGTTAGGTAATGTTACATTCCGGTAATCCTATTCCCGGAGATAATGCTACATTCCATAAACCAAACGCACACTAAGGGACACAAGTAGAGGCATGATAAATGGGAGAGGATTCCCATTCGTTGTCGGGGCGGGGGTAGTGAAACCGAAGGGGAGTTGCGCCGCATGTATTAGTTTTTTTTAAATGATTTTTAAATTTTTAAATAAAATTTTTGAAATAATATAAACATGTCACGTGTCAGATAACAAAAATTTTCAACGACTGTTATAGCGTATGCACTTAAAATTGTAACGTCAGAAACGTTAAACACATATTTTGAATGAAAAATTCCTTAGGTATATAAAATTAACCTATGATATAGTTTGGAGACTTATTTTTAAATTAAATCAAATAAATTTTATATTTTAAAATGTTATTATAATATTTTTATCTTTAGGATTTTTTTTTACATTTTCTTTACTTTCTAAAAAACTTAAAGTTCTTTTTTTTTAATTCAACTAAACATATGTTACTATATTATGAAACTTAATGACCATTAGTATGATCAAGGATGACTACAATTAGACGAACTCAAATGACCACAAATTTAAGATCGTTGGATGAAAAAATAGATGTCTGAGATTAATGCTCTATTTTTCTTATAGTGAATATCTTTTCATTTCCTACTGTTAATTTTAGCCAACTATTTTTTCATTTCCTTATTTTTTTTACATTATGTAACAAGATCATATCTCCTTTTTAAAATGTATATTTAAGTTCTGATTTTATAGCTTTTCAAGGAATACATGGCATCATCCACAAGTAAATTGAAGGGGTTTAGTGATAATTTTCAAAAAGTTGGTCTAATAAAAAAAATTAAAAACATTGTGCGGCTTAACGAGACTTTTTTTTTAAATATATGGGATCTAATTAAAAATAAAAATAAAAATTGGTGTTGAATATGAATTATTAAAAAGTTTAGCAGACTTAATTAATATTTTAAGTTTTAAAAGGATTTAACGTAAAATTTTCAAACTTTTGTAGACATCGGAGTCTCGGTACCATCGGTATCTATAATCATCATACCAACTCTGATGGAAAATTTCCTTTGGACTAACCATATATGAAATATTAACTCTTTTCGGATTTTAAAAATTAATATATATATAATTTTATATTAATATTATTTATTAAATCTATATATAAAAACTACTTAATTTTTTAATAATGTATGAACCTAATTATTTTATTTTTTATATATAAATATATGAACTGAATTACACGTTTGAAGGAGGTGAATCTTTGTACCTTTTCCCTTTTCGAGTTTTTGGGAGGTCCTTTAACAAATCTGAACGTGAAACGATGTTGTTTATGTTTTTCCAATAGAGGTGAGCAAATTTAGATTATACTTAAAAAGCTATGTTTTTTTAATTCAAACCGACTTTAAATTTGAATCAAGTGTCTCAACAATGCGTAATATATGTATATCACATATATATATATCAAATTGTTTGTTATAATATGTGGTAAGGACAAGGTAATATCCGTTCAAAGATAACTCTTAACTATTTGATATTGATCGCTACAATTTTAGTGCTCGAAACTGAGATTTCAAGGAATAACAACAATTACTTTACTACTGGGGTCACTGGGTTCAAATTAAAATCAATTAGTACAATAACATCATAAATATTTATAATTATATTTAAACAGAAACTCAAACAACTCGAATTTCATAAAATTGGCTCGATATAATTTTTTTTGTAAATGCTATTTGAGTTATAAAATAAAACTCGTAAACTTAAATTATTTTTAAGTCAACTTGATTAGATTGAATTCTTACACTATTTTCCCATGCGTAGAATTGGCCTATTATGAAAAATAATCTAACCTAAAAAAATGACTTAAAATTTTCTCCATAAAGATTTTAAAATTTAAAGTACAATCGATTAGTAAAAAATAATTTTAAATTTTAAAATATAAAATATATAAATATTAATATAAAATTAATTAATTAATTATATATATATATATATACCAAATCCAAAACAAGTATCAAAAATTTATTTATTAGAAATAGAATAAATAAATTCATTTGGAAAAATAAAAGACTTAGTTAAAAAATAAGTACTCAAATTATATTTTCTTCAGTTTAAGTGCTTAAAATATTTTTGTTTAAAGTATGTGCATAATATTTTTAATATTACTCTTTTAAGTGTCTACATTATAACAACTGTTAAAAAATGTTATCCTACATGTGTTACGTTTTATATATTTTTTAAAATAAAAATATTTTTAATTTTCAAAATAACCCCAAATTTATCTCAAATATAAAAATCTCAAAAACCTTAAAAAATCATAATCGACCACTCGCTCTTCGTTGCTTACCCCTTAAACGACCATCGTCATTGACGTCACCTCATCCCTTAGATCCTAAAATTCATAAAATTAAATCTTTATCGTTCCCTCTTCCAATTCCATGTCCCGATTTTTTCAAATGACTCATTCTACGAATCATCTCAATAAAAGGTCACTTGTAGGAGGCAATAGACTTGGATTTTCCTTGAATTGAAGTGCGTGGCTCGTCTAGTATTTCCTTTCTTCACATCCCCTTTTTTTCGCACGGATGGAGCAATCTAAGAATCCTTTCGTCGAAAAATGATTTACCATATAGCCACTCGTACTTTCAACACAATGTTGCGGCTTTGGTCCCTTGCTCGTGGGATTGCTACGATAAGGGGTGACAGTGGCCAGTGGGGTCCGACGATGATAAGAGTGACGACAAAGAGGACGATGGCAGTCGATAATGTATTTGGCATTAAGATTTTTTTTAGGGCTATTGGGACTTTTTGCTATTTGAGATAATTTTAGGGTTATTTTAAAAAATAATAATATTTTTAAAAATATAGACATTTTTTTAACTATCATTACAACATAAATATTTAAAAATGTAACATCAAAAACTTAAAATACATACTTCAAACGAAAAATAATTTAGACATATAAAATAAATAAATAATATAATTTAAACATTTATTTTTTTCATTGCGTCAAAATAAAAAAGGAAAAAATAAAAGTAATTAACAATACGTATAAGAAATAGAATCCCCAAACAAGAGACCCACAGGCCACAAGAACCACAACAGCTTTCTTTCCGCAGTTTTGTTCAGAAGAAAAGTGTAAACAAATTTTCGGAACCCCAAAAGAGGGGGGAAAAGACAACTCGGCACCGCCACGCGGAACGAGTCAATTCGGCGGCACTCGTCGTTCGATTCCATTGTTCATCATCTGATCATCTATATCCCTGATAGTGAGTTTATACAATGAAAAAAATTGAAATAATAATCGACAAAATTTTTTATTATGATTTTGATGGATTAAAAACGGCTTTGTTTATTTACTTCCTCCCTTTGATTTGGTAGGATCCAAGGCGGTTTTCGGAGATTTTCGTTGCGGGTTTTTTTAGTTTTTAGAATATATTATCTTGTTTTTTTTTATAAAAAAGAAAAACTTTTTGGTGATGTTGGATTTTCGGGAAGGAGGGGCGAGGGGCTAAGGTTTTGGTGGGTTATGATTAGGGTTTTTGCGTGTGGGTTTGGAGATGGATGAGAATTCGGAGCCTGAAGAAGGAGAAGCTTGCTATTACAGAGATGACGACAACAACATTAACCCCGATACCGCTTTATCTTACCTTGTAAGGGTTCAAATCATTTTATTTTTTAAAATGAAAATTCTACTGATTTTACATCCGTTTTTATGTTTAAAACCTGGGGTTATGCTTTAGTTGATGCAATTTGGGTCTTTTGATTGGAAATTTGCTGAATTCTAAGTTCGATTAGGCATTTATGCCACTTTGTAGGCAATGCAGTTCTATCAAGCTTTATTGCTAGGAATGGATTAGTTTGGGCTTATTAGACATGAAGGGGAATTAACTAATTGCTAACTAGAATAACTTCTGGTCCTTATCATGAATTAGAATCCTACGAGGCTTCAAGTTTGTGGTGTTTGATCATGGATTCACCTAAGTATTGAAGTCGACTATAGAGGATGAGGTCATTTGGTTCTTTGCAAACTTGGTAGACAAAATTATTATTTTGATATACTTTCTTAGGCAACCTCATGGTTTTTATCGGTTAATTTTTCATCCGTAGGAATGCGAGAGAACTAGAAAAATAAATTTTCAAGCCCCATTTTGTGTCTTTGTTCAGTTTTGTATTTTGTTGTGCTATGCGATGGCATTAAAATGTTGTCCTGCGCTCAGCAACGATTTGATGCATGATAAAAATTTCTTAGCGTGGATAACCTTTGAAACTTCCTCAACATTTATAACTTTTTTATGTTGATGATAGTTTTTCGTTTGAATGTACGATGTGATTAACTTTATCCGTTCTCTTAATTTATTTAATCTAATCCATATTTACAATATTAAGTTATAATTAGTTTCATATGTTATTATTGAGTTCCTTAAAAGAATGGAGCTTTGAGATGATAATAGTAAATGGCTTTTGGTGCCCGTTTTAATTGAATCTGGTCAATATATAAGCTTCACATGCCACTTTATTAGTTTCATATTGTTTTTATTAGATTCCTATCAAAAAAAAAATATTGTTTTTATTAGACATAAGGTTTATGAAACTATTAACAAGAATAAGTTGTGCCTCATATGAATTAAAATATTGTTTTTATTAGACATAAGGTTTATGAAACTATTAACAAGAATAAGTTGTGCCTCATATGAATTAAAATCCTACTAGGCTTTAGGTTTTGTGGTGTGGGATTATTGTTTTACCGAAGTTTTGAAGTCAACCTTTGAGGATGAGATTATTATGTTCTTTGCAGACGTAGTAGACAAGTCGTTTTTGACATGGTTTTGTAGATAAATGCTTGGCTTAGCAAGGTGAAGTTTTCATCACTAGGAATATAATAGAACTAGAAGAATATGTTTAAGAATATGTTTTAATGCCCCATTGGTGTCTTTGTTCAGTTTTCTAGTTAGTTATGTGATGGGATAGTGTTAGAATGTTGTCCTGTTTCTCAGCAACAATTTGATGCATGATAAAAATTTCTTTGTCTGGATGATCTTCAAAACTTCCTCCACATTCAGAATTTTTTTAGGCTGATGATGGCTTTTATTTTGAATGCAAAATGTGATTTAACTTTATTAATTCTCTTAATTTATTCGATCTAATTCATATTTGTAGTATTAAGGCAATATTTCCTAAAAAGGTTGGACTTTGAGACTATACTATTACTTCTGCCCATTGTAATTCAATATATATCAGCTTTAACATACAGTTATCAACATTCTCTGTGCTATTCCATTAGTAATGTGAGATTTCATTTATTTAAGGATGGGAAGATTGAAAACATTTTGGGTCATTTCCAAAAAGAGTTTGAAGGTGGTGCTTCTGCAGAAACCTTGGGTAAGTGTTTGATCACAGTTTTACAAATGTAAAATACTATTGAAAGGTTGATGTTTGAAGTTGATGATGAAGACTAAAATTTCTTAACAGGGGCACAATTTGGTGGGTATGGCTCATTTTTACCTACCTATGAACGTTCTCCTTCAAGATTATCACATCCAAAGAAACCACAGGGGAACTCCCGCACACCAAAATCTACAAACAATTTATCTATGGAGGTATATGATCACTATCCATTATATATTTGATCATTTTTTTTTGGAAGATGATGTACCTACCTGTTGCCTAGACAGCTTCTAAAATTCTTGTTTAATTGGTTGCTGTCGACTCTGGTACGATACAGGTTGCATTCCAGAAATCAAAAGCTCCTCCAAGTGCATCCCTAACTGTGGGACCAGGGAATGCTTCCTGCTCAAGTGGCAATATTGCAGCTAAACATATTTCTCATTTGTCTTTTAATCATGTCGTCGGGAAGCCTGCCTTAAAGGATGTGAGTTTTAACAGAACAAAGATTCACACTGACCAGAAGACACTGAAGGTGCGAATTAAGGTGGGATCTGATAGCAAAGTTCAAAAGAACTCTGCAATCTATAGTGGTCTTGGGCTTGATGATTCTCCATCTTCGTCATTGGGGAACAGTCCCGATGAAAGTGGAGGGACAGTGACGGGTTCACCGGGAACTACAAATGAATCACCTACTAAAATTCTTCAGGTAGAGGTTCTCTTGGTTGTTTAATATGTCTGTGTATGAACTAAGAAGGGTGTGTTAATATTTTATGCTTTTATACAGGTTATGACTTCCTTCCATGTCCCTGGTGGTGTACTCGTATCTCCTCTTAACAGCTTGCTATATTAAGGAAGGAGAAGGAAGGACCTTCTAGAGATACTACAACTACCCCCATGCTTAAGGGATGTCGAGAAAATTCTTCTGGGTTAGTAAATAAGTCCATTTTGGGTAATGGAAAAGAGAAGAAAACAAAATTTTTAATTGCAAAATGCAAAAAGGTGCTGGAAACAAAGCATGGGAATTGCGTGAAGGTTGAGAATGATAAGAAGTTGCTCATAAGAAAGAAGTCGGAAAACGAGATTGCAGGAGGGAAGGAGTTGCTGGCTAATGACTTGAAACACACGTCTCTATCAAATTCAGTGAATGTTACTGGCTCTATGGATGCCACACATAGGGTATGCGATATTTCTGTGGATGCCAATCAGGCTGGATTATTTCCCTCTTACTCGTTAAAGAAGGATTCTTTGGAGTCAATATCTGGAAGGAGTAGATCTAGTGGCAAGAAGAAAAAACAGGATATTCCTCGCTGTTCAGTTGAAAAGGCTCGGAAACAGAGTGTAGTAAGTTCTGAGAAGAATGCTTCACTTGGCCTTGTGGACTATGATGGCAGTAAATGCAACCAAAATACTGCACCTTTAAAGCGTAAGGAAGATTCAAAAGCTAAGGTTTGTCAGGCAGCTACATTTCATGTTCAGAATGAAATAAATATTCCCTCTGAAAACACATTGTTTGAGAGAAAAAAGTCAAAAGGTTGTGAAAATGCTGGACGAATTGCTGCTGATTCAATGAAGGAAAGTTTGAAACTTGATGTGGGTGCAACACCTAAAGATACCACCAGTTCTAGTCAGAGTTTTTTTTCAGGTAAAAGTAAGATGCATAAGTTGAAGTTACTGAAGGATAAGGTCCGAGATAATCGTAGAGATGCATTTGACACCAATTTGAAACAAAAACATGAAAAAATGGATCCATCAACGAGGCTTGTTCACAATAGGCCAAAAGAAATATTTAGTGATAGAACAGTTGACAACCAGCTTTTGGGAGAGGATGCTTCAGGTGTGGTTCCTCACCTCACCGGTAAGACACTTGCCTCGCAGACAACAACATTGGCAGCAACTGCACCTGTTCTCATAGAAGAAAACTGGGTTCAGTGTGATCGTTGTCACAAGTGGCGACTTTTGCCTTTTGATACTAAACCTGAACAACTCCCTGAGAAGTGGTTGTGTAGCATGCTTAATTGGCTGTAAGTTCCTTAGATGCCTATGAAATAACGATTTTGTTGCGTATGCTTTTCCCTTTGTTTGAGCACATCCTATGTGCATTTTTCCGCTAGTTCACCTGATGCTTTTTGATGTGCAAATAAGTAAAAACACATGGTGAATCATGGGTGCATTTGTAGATGCGTTGTGTATTTCTGTGAAGTGTGAACACATGCTTGTAATTTTGCTTTTGCTGATTTTTGTTTAATTTTTTGTATAGGCCTGGAATGAACCGGTGTGACATTTGTGAGGATGACACAACGAAAGCTCTTAATGCATTGTACCAGATCCCAGTTGCTGAGAATCAATATAACCCAACCTTGTCAGCTCATCTTCAACATCTTGATCAGAAAAACTCTGGTTTCAATTCTCAGGTATCATCAATTCAAGGCAAGAACCATGACACAAAGGAACTGCACAAAGCAAGTAAAGGTCGCCTGAGTCAGATGTCAAAAACTAAAAAGAACCAGCAGCAGGAATTTTTGAAAAGTAGGTTCTTAAAGAACATGACCCAGGTTCCCGTTGAATCAAATCTCACAGAGAAAACTAGCTTTCAGCAAAATGAAAAGGATCCAGTTGCAGGTTTAATCCACTTGATAGCCTAAATTATATTATCAGTCAAACTTTTATATTGAGAGACTAGTTGTTTATTTTTTGGGCATTTGTTTGATTGTAGGAGTGACCAAGCAAGCAAAGATGAAAAACAAGAGGGAGTTTGGTCTGTACCCGAATGAAGGTTCAAAGAAAGCCAAAACGGCAGCTGTATGTACCACTGATAAACTTCACAGTTCTAATTTGGACATCAGAATGGTGGGCCTTAATACAAGCACTGGCTTGCCAACTCAAGCAAATGGAACAAATATGCAGAATTATAATGAGTACTTCAATTCTGGCGATGTAAAGCATGATTTGAAAGAAAGATCAGCAGTTTCTGTTGAGAAATTTGTGGATCAAACTCAGGCCTCATCAGATGGTATGCCATTAGACATGAAAAGAACTGATAAAATGGCTCCTGTGAAGAAAAGGAAATTGGAGGACCGGGAGGACTATCAAAACGGGCACAAGTTATATATAAAGGAAGAAAGCAGTGAGAGTGGATTTAGGAATGGAAAGAAATCACAACTTTCAAAGATTGAGGGGAAGCAGCCCCTTCGGAATGATGGTAATGGCACATTAAACAGGAAAAGCATGGATCATTTGATTGGTGGCTCTGAAGAAGTCAGAAGCATTGATAGGAACCAGCAACTTAGGAAACACAAGAAAAAGTCCTCTTCCCAACAAACTTTGGATGGCTTTGATTCATTGAGAATGGATTCTGAAACTGGACAAATTTCGAAGGCTGCAATGTCTAGCTCTTCAATGGTTTCTGGTTCTCATAAAACTAGAGTAAACTTTGAACAAGTAAGGGGTTCACCAGTTGAGTCGGTTTCTTCGTCTCCCATGAGGACCTCGTATCCAGGAAAGTTTGCATCAAACAAAGGGGAGGAGCATTCAGTGAAGAATGCTGCTTATAATACTGGCATTCCCCCAAGTGGCAATTATGGAAGATGTTGGGATGGAGAAGGTACTGTTGAGCTTGTTCAATCTGTTCCAGAAATGAAAGAGAAAGTGTCAAGTGATTTTAATCCTAAATCGCATAAATATGCTACCGTGGATTGTCAAAATAGAGATTATATTTGCAAAATTAGCATTAAAACAAAACCTTCTTCTAGATTGGGGTATAGCCATTTGTGCAATGGTGATACACATTTTGCAGAAAATGGACAGTATGCTCTAGAACGTCCCCATTGTGAGGATAGAGTGAACAGGGAATGCCAGGTCAATGCATTTTCTCAGGAATCTGACAAGGGTTCACAGATAAAGAACAGTGAAAGTTCTGCTGAAGATAAGATGAAGGTTAATGATCCAGCAGATCAACAGGAAGATTTGTGTTCTAGAAAGAACATGAATTATCAGCCAGATGTTGGTCCCAAGGGTCATGGATGTCTTCAAGAAACAGTTGCTGATTGCAAACTCAATTTGCCAAAACCTAACAAGGGTGAGAAGAACTATATTGAAAGGAGAGATCCTTCAGGACATTGGTCAAGTGGCAGTAGAAAGGAAGCTCGATCAAATAAAAAGCATGATTTTGACTCAAAATCTGCTGCTGCATGCAGTACAAAGGGGAAGACTGCCCCTGAGAAAAACCTGATCCGGGATATTGATGGTCAAACTAAAGTAATGCAAGAGGAGACAAGAAGTGGAATCTCAAAATCATATTTGCATTGTGAAGTCGAAAGTCAGCAAGAAATAAAGGGCCATCTAACAGCACCAGAAGCTGAACAGGGAGTTGTTTCTGATGGGTTTTCAGTTAATGGCTCTTGTAATGTTGATTCGTCTGAGGCTATAAAACTTCCCGTAAAAGCTGGCAGCAAGAATGGATCTAACCACAGTTCGGGGAAACACATACCTGACTTACGTAAGGCTCACAGTCCAGTAAGAGTAAATTCCTCCAACAAGGCAGCAAATAATGCCCTGAATGATGCCGAGAAGCTTAGAAATTATGCCGATCGGTTAAAGGTTCATTTTCTGATTTTTTTCCTGACACATGTATTCCACTTTCTCAAAGTTATTTGATAAGGTTTTTCTTATTCTAACTGTTTACTACCATTTCATCGTCTTTCAGAGTTCTGGTTTTGTTTTTGAAAGCAATGAGATTTACTTCAAAGCTGCTCTTAAGTTTCTCGGCGTTGCTGCCTGTCTAGAGACTAACAATAGTGAGAGTGGTAGACATGGCGACACAAACCACATGCAAATTTATAGCACTGCCACAAAACTTTGCGAGTATGTAAATGCTTCAGAAGTGATAGGAAACTGTTTTTTTTAACTTCATTAGATTTGGTTGTTTATATTTACATTAGGAGTTTTCACGAATTCCTGTATCTTGCACAATGCTGACTTCTCAAGTTCACAGAATGTGTGCCCAAGAATTTGAAAAGAGTGGAGAAATGGCTGCTGCTACTTTGGCTTATAGATGCATGGAGGTAGCATACATGAGAATTGTTTTCTGCAAACATTCTACTAGCTGCCGTGACTGGAATGAGTTGCAAGCAACTCTTCAGATGGTTCCCCAAGGTTAGCCAGGCTTGTTTTTCTCTCTGTGATTGATTGCACATTTGGTTGTTATTTGATAGTATCTACTTTTGAAGTTTGAATATTTGGCAATAAATGTGTTTGTCTCATCTTCTAGTGAATGTCATTTCTTATTCCTTGGCTAGTTTAATTAGAAGGTTCACCTAACTGTATAACTTGATAAAGCAAACTACAGAAAGAAGGTGTTTCTCTCTCTCTCTCTCTCTCTCTCCTGTTGGAGAACCACCAGTGCTTGTTTCTGGTTAAGGTCCCATTGAAGCTGTAACGAGTTGATATTTCCTGATGTGGCTAGAGCTCTAATTCTTGTTGCATATCATGCTTTTGTGGTTCTAACATAAAATATATTGTTAACATATTACTTTTTCTCTCTAAAAAGACTTTTTCTGGGTTAAGATTGCAACCTTAGTTTTTTTGGATGTCTTCTTCCAGGTGAATCTCCATCATCTTCTGCATCAGATGTAGATAATAACTTAAATAATCAACAAACCGTGGAAAAGGCTCCATTAGCCAAGGGTTTAGTTTCACATGTTGGTGGGGCCCATGTCATTGTTGCTAGAAATCGCCCAAGTTTTGTTCGGCTGCTCAACTTTGTAAGTTGATTCAGTCTGCCAATCTTTTTTCCTTCTCTTTGCTTTTTTATTTAAATCATTTAATTTATATATTTTATTAGGCAGTGATTTACACCCAGTATTTGC